TTCAGCAAGGAATAGAATTTATTGCTAACTGCTACTAGAATTTGCTTTTCTGATAGTAGAGCTTATTCCACTAGTATCTCCATTTAGGCTAGGTATTATACCTGGTACTTCGATCCTGTCTTCTGTTTCAGAGCTCGATCCAGAGGAGATGACTGCGTATGTGTTCCTCATAGTTCCAGGAGCCTTCTCGGTTGGTAGAGCTGGGTGAGCATGAATAACCACAGTCCAACCATATGGAGAGATGCTGGTGAGACCGTTTCTGAGCCATCCAGGTCCCTGCCACAGCACCAAGAAGGAAGCTGAAAAGAATGAGTGGAAGTGGGGCAGTGTGTCAGTGTCTAGTCCATCTCCTGGAGCATAAACTTTGAGTCAGGAGGTCTCGAATTTGTCACCCAGGAGTGTCATTTGTCCCTGCATAGCCATAGTTATTTCTGCTGCCACCCTGTCTGACTTAAACTATCGTCTCTGAAAACATCTCACACTCCAAATGAATCCCTTTTATGTAAGCAGGTATAAGCATTGGATATTTCTTATGAAATCTACTGTGACCTAGAGAACCCAGAGGTGAGTTTCACATGAGACCCTCTAGCAAGCTTCAGAGGACACATCTCAAATTCAGGCGCATTTACTCAACTTAATGATGGTGACACCAGAGAGTATAAAAGTTACATTAAAGTTTCAGGAAGATGTTTGTTTTTTTTTTTTTTCTTTTAGAATTGGCTACATACTCAAATCTCAGAAGGATAGAATGATAATGTCACCTTGTATCTTTCTAGCTTCTTCCTAAGGGAGAAAAAAACAGTTTCCTGAGGCTTCTCTCTGGAGGAGAAAAAACAAAAAAACAAAAAAAAACAAAAAAAACCTGCTTGCTTAGAAAGAGAAGGCAGGACCCATCTTGGTGTTATGCTTCAAATACCTCAAGGGTCATATACCTGAGAGAGAGGTCACAATTACAGTACTCACACTACCATGAATAGACAGATGGATTCATGCTTCTCTTTAATACCCACAAACTGTGACTTTCTGATTTGAAGGATGGTACTCATGGAACCTGGTTCAGTAACCATGAGAATGGACAGATCCCCAGACAGGGTGTCTGTCTGCAGTCAGATGTGACAGAAGCAATAATTATTGAATCCATAGCATGTTTAATAAAATGTGCCAAATGCCTCATGTCGCTCTCATACTTTAAATCTAGTCATTATCATTACTTCACAGATACAGAGACTGAAATTTATATATACCAAATCCACAGTTTCCTATCTTGATCTGGGGGCCCGTGAGATACTTAGAATGTATCCACAGGTCAAAATTTATTCTACTAATATTGCGTTGTTGGAAAAGTCATGTCATTTTTTTTTCTGTTTTTCTATGCGAAAATGCATCAGGACTTTTCAAATGACCCAATAGTATACTTTTCACTCTCATTCCCGTAGGAGGATAAAAGAGGGTTTTTCGAAGGCTGCATAACATAATATTTTGAGAGATTGGATGCAGAAGCAAATCTAAGATCTAGATTTCTTCTAAGACAGATTATCAAGAATTTTGGTGATTTATGGGACAGAGAGCTGGGTTATTGTCTGTTTGGAATGATATGTATAGTATTGCCAAGTACATTGGTGAGAAATGTGTATGTGTTGGAATATTCACTTTGCAAAGTAACATATGTGATTGAACGTATAAAAGAAATTGAATAAAATATGTTAAAAAAGAAATGTAAAA